AAAGGACGATGAATATTCCATACAGGAAACACTTGAGGTTGACAGATGAACAAAAAAATATAAAGGGAGAGGGGAGAATGAAAGAATACAGGAACAGTTCAAAGAGCCAATTCACTACAGAACAACTTTTGCCTAGATTAATGTGAAAATGGGTGCAGAAAGAATAACAATGACAACACCTCCAGCTCACACTGCCCTGTAAATGGCAATTTACAATATATTTCTATGAAATCTCACATCAAAGGTTACCATTCTCTACAAATCCCAGATTGAACATCAAGTTCCTCGGAAATTAAAAACAATAAACAGAATTGAGCTCCAAACAATCTGCATTTCTTAACAAAAACAAGTCATAGGATCACTTATCCTAAACATTTTTCACAGCCAACCACCCAGAACTCACATTTGAAACCTATCAAGCTAATTCCATACATTTGGACAACCAATACACATGAATAGACAAAATCCGCAAGATTTTCAAGTAAAAAAAGAACGGTTTAAGGATATTATGGAACAACGGACGGTCAAAACTTTGTTTTTGTTAACATAGCAAACAAATCGAAAATTGACCACAAACGAAAAAGGGCAAAGCTTTGCGAAAAATCAATACACAGAAAGTAAAATTAGAAAGCTGTCAATAAATCATATCGAAGAGAAAGTAAGAAATCGAATCACACTCCGCATAGTTACTTTACCTTCGAAAAGTAAGATCTCCCGGACAGTGCAAAAAAGACGTGAACTGCAGTGAAAAGCACCACAGGAGGTCGGAAAATCTGTCTCCGGGCTTCGAAATTAACTCTCACCAGCAATCTCTAACAATTTGAACAGCCTACAATTTCCTTAATCGTGCTTTTACATACGAAGAGTGAAGTGAAGCTCAAGCGAAACATATTAGAAGATGAGAGCGGACATTCGCCGTATTTCAACATTAAGATGAGGATGTCGCCGGAGACTCGCCGGCAGACATATCGGCGCATTTGAGCTTCAGCATTTGCACCTCCGCAGTCCGCAGACGCGCTCTCGGTCGGACTCGACAAATTTTCTCTACTCTGATTTATTTCTCACGAGTTACAATTGAATAAATAAAAACAATATATTAACTTATTTATTTGTTATTCTTTTGTAATGCACAATTATCAAATTATGCCAATATTGTTATATATAAAATAAGAAAATATATAGTTTCTAATAGAAAACAATTTAATATTTACAATAAAAAATCAATTGTTATTTGCTTATCAAAACCAATTTAATGATAACTATTTTTCTGTTATACATATAAAAACATTAGTGTTAAAATAATTTTTAAAAAAACTATTAAAAAATGAATAGTTTGAAATGATTTTTTAAAAGTGAATAGCAAATAAATAAGACAAACTATTATTTTTATTTACTCATTATATTTTATATTTTTATGGTATAAAATATTTTAATTATGGCATAAACCTAATTTAGTTAGTCAGATATTTATACCTACATATAAAATATTGTCACGTGTAAAAAAATTTCTTATTGAAAATCCTCCCTATATATAATTTCAGAATGCGCTGAGCTTACGTTGCAAACTCTCTATATATAATTTCAGAATGCGCTGAGCTTACGTGGCAAACTCTCATGCTTCGGAATTCTATTTGGCAAAAAATCATGCTTTGGAGTTAGAGTTGGATATAAATTAATATTTGTATTAATTGTATTTTAATATTATTTCCTATTATAACCATTAAATTGCAAATATATTTTAAAAGTTAATAACTTTTGTATTTTTTATCGGTTTTACATATATAATATATCAAATTAATCATCTTTTGATGAGCTTCGATTTGACATCTATATTGTATATCTAAAATAAATAAATTACATTTATCTTTATAATAATAATAAAATTATTTATTAAAATTAAGTAAAAAATAAATTTATTTATCAATTAATATTTATCAATTAATATATTCATGTTTAATGTAGTTAATAAAATTATTTATCAATTAATATATTTATGTTTAATGTACTTATATGTTATAAGGTAGAAAATTTATTATAATATAACACATATAAGTTGAACAAGTAACATGTATCATACTAAAATATAATATATACTCCCACATATTTTTATTATTTGTCACTTTAGCTTAATTGATCATTGATAAAATAAATGTCATTTTAGATATTTTGTTCATTTTTTTAACCCTCCATCCAATACATACTGTCAAAAAAAAATGTTAATTAGTGTGTTGCATTTAAATTGATATTATGAAGTCCGTTTGTATTTTACTATTTATATATATATATATGTGTGTGTGTGTGTGTGTGTGTGTAAAATACAAAAAAGTAATATATATCCTTATAAATAAAATTTAAATTTATTTATCAAACTAAATTAAATTATATCAAATAAAACTATAAATTATATTATAAAGTAATAGAAATTGGTATTATTCTTTTAAAAATGATATTTATTTAAAACCGATTGGTATGTTGTCAATGTAATAAATAATTATTTATAGAAATTCTAAAATTACATATAAAGTTAAAAAAAAGTGAAGCACGCCTGGTACGACACTTGATGTATTAGACATCTAATTAAGTAAAAAAAAAAATCTATTTTTGCTAATATTAAATTAACATATTCTGCACTTATGCATATACATATCACACTATTATTTCTATTTATTTAAGATATATATTTTTGTACTTATGTAATGGTAAATAATATCGATATTTTTATATGATATAAGTAAAAAAATTCAACAAGGGTTGACATTTTCATTTAATGTACGGGTGTTTAATTATTATGATTAAAAAAAATATAATTTGACAATTTAATTAATACCCAAAGTAATATTTTATATAAAATTAAATTATTTTAATTTTTAAAAAAATAAAAAATTTAATATTTTTTACAAAGCTTTCTAATTCAACACCCGTGTAATACACGGGTATCGTACTAGTTTAACATTAAACTAATATAAAGATCACCAATTCTTGAGAGAGACAAGTTAATGGTTAGACGACCTATCCATTATATTTTCCAACAAAAATACATTCATATATTTAAAAATATTATATTTTATTCAGGTTATTTTTTAAAGTATGTCGTTTGTGTATAAAACTATGTATACATGTCGAATATTATAGTTGTCTAACCAGTAGGCCTATCAAACAACCATATCATATAAAGATACATGTTATATAAATTAATTACATAATTTTCAAATAATTTGTAACTTTGTTTAATGTAGGTAGTTGAAGAAACGCTCCGTTCCAAATCATTCAATTAATCTATCATTATATTAAAAGATTAACCATTTAACACTTTTAGCAAGCTTTTCCCGCCAAATACATTTAATGTCTCCTAAAAATAGATCAGCATTAAATGTTGCCCTTAAATTATGGCAGTTGTTAATTTAGTTTGGAGAAAATCGTGACAACTAAAACAAGCAACATTAATTACGACTGATTCAATATTTAAATAGCAAACAAATATTATTTTTTTATAACTGATTTAAATTTACGTCTGTTTAAAAGTAAAAAACTATTTTTGTAATTTCAACAAATTTGTACTCTTTAATGTACGGTTGATTTAAAATTAAGAATTTATTTTTGTATTTTCACAAAAAATCGTATAAAGAAGTATGACTGGAATAATAATAAAAAATTAATTTGTTAAACCATATTTTGCACTCATAGATACGAATTCTCATCAAATTCAAGATTTAAAATTGTGAAGAATGTATATAGATGTGGACTGATTGAAGATATATGATTCCTTAAATTAAGGAATTTTTTCCGGTAAAGAAAAAATATAAACTTTAAATATAGATTTTATTAGTAGTGTATACCATGTTGGGTTCGCTAGTACCGTACGGGCTTTAAGCAGCGGAATTTAAATTTTTTCAAAGTAAGTATTTATCGTATAAATACAACACCCGTACATACTAATTGCGAATTAACTGATCGTCATCTTTAAAACATGCATCATATACAAATTTTGATTTGTTATATAAAATTAAGTACCAGTACAAATATTTACCGTATGTCTTGAACTCCTTCAACGACGATGTGGATTGTGAGAATCGGTTCCCGGTTTGATAACTTCAACGGATTGAGGTTACTCACTTTAGGAATCCAAGTGTCTTCCCTCTAAACGTATCCACCTTTTGAAATCCGGTTCCGATAACCTCTTTCTTCGCTAGTAGAAAAGTATCGGTTTTTATTCAATAGAATGAAATATTTATTTGAGGAAATATACAAGAACACTTTCTTGTATTTTTGAATATGAAGAACACTTCTTCTTTTCTCTCTTTTTCAACTCTTGAAAACTTTGCAAGACTTAGATTAAATTTGAACATCAAGTATGTCCATATTTATACTAAACATTTTAGTATAAAATAATAATATTGGGTAGAATATTTTCATAAAATATAAAAAGTCTTCAAGAATATTTTCATAAAATATTAAGTCTTGAATAAGACTATTCCCCACCCAATATTCAATTAATAAGAATAAGATTAATTATGTTAAGTAGTTAGCATCTTATAACCACCATAATTAATTTATTCTTATTAATATTTAATCTTTAATCATTTTAAAGATATTTAATAAAATAATAATTCTTGAAAGCATCTTTCAAGACTTTATTATTTTAATCCTTTATTCCATTTCCTCATTTAATAATCATATTATTATTTGGATTTGAAATTTAAAATCTAATTTTAAATTCCAAATATTAATTAGTAATTCCATTAATTACTAAATTAATATCCAAATTTCAATTAATCAATCCAATTGATTAATTTAATATATTCCTTTAATTGACATCTAATCAAATTAGATTTGTCAATTAATTCTAACTCTTTAGAATTACTATTTGAATTTCACCTTCATTCAAAAATTGGTGTGACCTTTTAGGTTCACAATTAATACTAGTAGTGGGTTTACAACTCTTTGTAATTTGAGTTAATCTTATTAACTCTTATTCATGAATTAACTCCTTAATTCAAGAACCCACATATCATGGGAACATCTAGCAAGTAGCATGAATCTAGTATTAAGTGAATAGCGAGTAAACCTATTTCAATTACAAGTCCATACATGTAAAATCCTTTCGACATCTAATTTCCCGATTAAATCTTGGGTATGATTTTAGTCGAAACCCAAATTGATTTAATAACTATGATTCTATTTCATGTTTAGTAATTCATGTGTGAATCTCTATTCATCCTGCCTTGGCCAAGGACTTTGAATTACTAACTATGAAATACATAGGAAATTCTCGTATCTTCATACGTGTCGAATCCTTTGTTGGCCACTAACAAACTTCCATACATATTAACATAATACCCAAAATATCCCTTTATACGATTGTGCTAGCAACCAAAAGGATAAATCAAAGTAGAACGTAATATGCACAAAGTTACCATTGTGCCTCAAGTCTAAGGATTAGTCATGTACTATTGTAACATGAAAATTCTTATTCGACAGAATAATTAACTAAAATAATTCTTCATTAAGAATTTTCATACGGTCATGTTCAGTGAACTTGTTCTCTAACAAGCACCCACATATATGTACTTGCGTCCCACGCTAATGTTGATGGAATGCAACATTCTTGTCAAACAAGCATACATACTATGTACAAGTCTTTTATGGATTATTCGATATCCCTTTTCGAAACATCCATCGACTTGGAACTTTATTTAAGACCACAGCTTTCAAGGTATGTTCCATGATCACCATCTCTATGCGCAACCATACCTTATAACTATATGTGATCTAAGGATTTTATCTTAAGTGCAAATATAGGATAAATGCTTACTCTTAAGATAAAGTAATGCCTTTTAATTAATATAATTCCAATAGCTTGTATTTACAAGTAGAATACATCAATCCAATTGGAACGCTGGGTATACTACTCTAACATACCAAAGAATATTGTTACATTTAAAATTCCTATGAAGAAGAATGTTATTAATTTTCAAAT